AGTTGTTGTTGTTATACGTCATCTAGTTCATGCAGGCTCGGAAATGCTGAAGCCTACAGAACAAACATCGCTTATAAAAACCCGATACCGATAATTCCCCATATTAAATTTTTTAGTGAATATCGGAGGGCCGATATTATCGGACATCCCTAGTTTATACTAGTTGTTTTCCTCATTGTCCCAGTTAGTGTTTGACCCTGAGGAGGCGGAAACGTTGATATTTACTAGTTGAAATAAATGCACCAGATTTGGACCCTGATTGGCTAATGAATCCTGAGCAAACGGACTGACAGTGAAGGCATCACTGGGCTCCAAATGCAGAAAAATGTATTTTTACGGATATTTTCCGTCACATCAAACTGACACTCTGACTGCCAGCCTGCAGTCGGTGCGTTCGCTGCCGTCTGTAAACACGAGCACTGCTGGCAGGCGGAGTGGCTCCACGCGGCCGTCCAGCTGAGTGCGCTTAGTGTGAGACGACCTCCTGCTTTCTGAGACGTCTTTGTACTGAGGACGAGTTTTTGGGTCACAGTGTGTGTGTGTGTGTCCTCGGGCTGCTCCAGACTCTTAATATGCCACCAGACTCTGATTAATGATTGGCTGTATGTGTGTCAGACCTTAACCGCGGGAAACCAAGAATCACCTCTGGGATTGGCCGAGGTTAAGAGAGGTTAAAGACGCGCAGAGAGAGGTTGGATCAGTTATTCCTGCTGATATTTTCAGATCTTTTAATTCATTTGTAGGTGAAACAACTTTTATTTGACCTGATTTATCTCCAAACTGTTTTTACAAAAAAACAAACAAAGCTGTTTCCTGTCCCTCGCCTCACCCAACCATCACAAGGAAATACAGAATGGACCAGTTAGCGGTGGATGTTACGGTTACATCTGCAGTTGCTGGCGTAGCAAAACCGCTGTCTATACACCATAGCTTTGTACCACGACATCATTTATTATTGTTTCAACATTCACTGTTTGGGGAAGCTAACGTTAATCCAGCCACGCTGAATGACGTAATCTCAACGAGTTAACGTCAGCTAAGACTCCCGGGGCTGATCTGGCTGATAGATTGGCGGCGGCGTTGGACAGCGGTAGTGGCTTACAACATTCAGTCTTGTGAGAGCTGCAGTTAGCTAAGCATTGCTGGAACTGTCTCTTTCTGGCAGCAATTAGGCTCCACCCACAGAATTAGAGACGAAGCCTAAACTGAGTCCCCACATTGTCACTGTGTAAACAAATGTGTGTCCCCACAATATGAGTAATATAGGTCCACACACACACTCTTAGACCATTATGAGCTCTCTCTCTTTTCCCTGCAGCTCCCTTATGGCGGTCGGCCACTAATGCAAATGTGCTGTGAGCCAAGCCTGGGGGGCACTTAGACCTCCCCTCAACCCCACCCACCCTCTGCTTATACCTGTCTGTCTCTCTACAGACAGTCTCACATCCGATCCTGTCTGTGTTTGTATATTTTACACAGATTCAGTCGTCTTCTTCTACTGCTGCTGACGGCGTTAACTTACTGTTTTACACAAGTTATTAGTTTTACGTAATTAAACACAGCACAAATCCAACATTATTATTTCAGAGCTTTCTTACTTGTTAATCACATTAGTGGCAACATTACTCGACAGCACCCCCTCTAGAGCAACTCCAGTGGCACATTTCACCAATTTGTATAATAATCGGTATGTGTGTAAATCACGTACTGCCAGGATGTAATGTTTTCTTGCTGCATATACTGTATTAAATAATAATACAAGATACAATAATATATTATTTAGCAGACTGAACTCTTGAGATAGCTTAAGGTGTTCCCCAGGATACCAGTTTGGGACCTATTTTGTTTTGTATTTTTAATTAAAAGTGTAAATGACAAAAATACACTTTTATGCCGATGACAGTAATTTATTCCAGTCATTACAAACTACTATGCTGAGTCTTAAATTGGTTTTAAATGCTCAGTTCACGGTCTTCTCTAAAGCTTGCTTACAGTTGCTTGATGATTTTAGTATTTTAACATCTGATGGTAAATCCACTGATAACAAGATTTTATTTAATGTACATAATCTAGTTTGGAAGCGCAAACTGAAAACTGGTTTTACTGCCAAGAAACAACTTGTGGAAGCTACATATTGTATCTGCATGCTGCCTCCTCCATTAACGAGCACTGGTACATTTTTATTGTTAAAGTGATACTGGCTGAACTTCCAGCAGATCTCTGTAACCTGCTCTGTGTAGGCTCTGGTAGTTAGTGTTTGCTTTTTAAAGTCCAGGTGAAATAAAAAATGTCATTTTAAGCCTTTAAGATCACATCCTCAGTTATATCGTTCCCCTATTTAACAATATCTGACAAAATTTGTGTATTTTTATATCAGAATCCAATCATTGTGTCTGTAAAACAGAATGTGATGCGTGCTTACGTCAGCATGAACTAACTGAAACCAATAATATCACAACATTCACTGCAATCAATCTGCAACTGTTAGCCACACAGAGTGAAGATTCATTAGTTAGCTAGCTAGCTACCGGAGCTCACTGATTACTGTACAAACACACAACTTTAGTATCACTGTACAAACACACAACTTTAATATCACTGTACAGAAACTAAACAACTAATCGATTAATGGATAATAAAAATAATCATTAGCATTGTCATTACTAGCATGCTAACATGCTATTGTTGAGCAGGTGTAATGTTTATATGTTTGTTTTCTAGTTAGAAAAGATGACTGACTGGTTCTTTTATCAAACTCACTGTGAATGAACAGGTGAGGGTCGGAGGGTCCAGACCAGAGCCATGAGCTGGGGGATTCAAATGGAGGCCGAGGTGGTCCGCAAGTATGAGGTACAGGAGACACTGAACCATAACACACTTTATTAACTGAGGATGATGATGGTGATGATGATGAAGGTGATGATGGTGATGATGATGATGATGATGATGATGATGGTGATGATGTCGTCCTCCAGAGACTGAAGAGCGCTGCGCTGGGTCGGTCAGTCTCGGTTCAGGATTGCGGTCTGTTCATTGACGCCCAGCGGTCCTGGTTGGCTGCGAGTCCTGACGGCATCGTGACGGACAGCCGGACTGGCCAATGGCTGCTCTGCCTGGAGGTGAAGTGTCCCTACAAACACAGACACAGACGAGTGGAGGACGCCTGCAGGGACGACGCTGCCTTCTGTCTGGAAATAAAGGAAGAGGCCGGACGGCAGCCCGGAAAGGTAAACACATCACATTTCACCATCTGGACATCTGTCCCCTCTTAATGTCCCATCCTGTCTTCAACATGTCCCAGATTAATATGTGCCAAAAGAAACAAAAAATTACCTCTGACCTGTATCTACAGCACTGACCTCTGACCTGTATCTACAGCACTGTATCTGTAACCTAGTGTTATTGTATTATTGTCAAATCAAATCTTTATTTTCTCTGAAAGGCAGTTAGTGTCAAATGATTAGTGTCAGGTTGCTTTTACCTTTATCCCTTACAGCGAACTGTAGTCGGTAGATGTTCATTTTTCCATATTACAGAAACGCGGTGAGGAGTTGAAGCTTCACATCGACCTGCTGGTCCCATCACACAGTCCATTGCCAATAAAAAGACTAATTCCACAGCACATCGATGTGCATTACATGTTTAATGTAGCTAGTCAGTTCATATTAATAATATAATTATTGTTAATATTGTATGAATGAAATAGTAAAGACCTCTGACCTGTATCTACAGCATTGACCTATGCCCTGTATCTACTGTACCCCTCTCCTCTAACATCCTCTCGTTGTCTTCCTCTCCTAGCCCCCAGCCTACCGTCTGAAGACGTCTCACAGTTACTTCACACAGATTCAGTGCCAGCTGGCGGTGACGGGCCTGCAGCGGGCCGACCTCGCTGTCTTCACCCTGAAGGAGACGGCCATCGTCCCTGTGACCTTTGACGCTGACCTGTGGGAGGAGACGGTGTCCAAACTGGAGGTGTTTTACAGGGACGCTGTCCTGCCTCACCTCAGAGAGAAGACACGGCAGGACACAGCAGCAGCCTGGACACCAGAGCCGTAGAGACACTGCGGTGACCTCTGACCTCTGGGAGAACATCCTCCAGAGCAGGTCAGGTGTGCAGCATCCGTTACCATGATGATATAACCAGGTTAAAACTACAGACATAACCATCAATAGGTCTATTACTGACACGTTACAAACACAAAATGGACATATTTCAGCTCCCAGTGGGCCGATGTACACATTGGACCTCAATAATCCAAAACCAATCCCAATAATCCCAAAACCTCCTTTATTGTCCCAATCAGCCAATCAGCTGCTGAGATATCGTCCATATAGCTGATCATTGATGCTAATGATGCTATACAGAACATATGCAGGTTATCATCAGTCAGACTGAACATTTCTGGGTTCATAATGTGGAAATATTACAGACTACATTGTTTTTATTATATTTTTATAATTATGTAATGAAATAAACTGGAATAAACTGTTAGTGTAAGTAATGTAATCTGGATTCTCTCTAAAAGTGTCTGAATTAATTATTGTTTGTTGTATTCTGAGTGGAGCTGCATATTGATGAGTTACTTTGTTTGGTGACGTTGTTTATTTTTAATAATAATATTAATAATAGTTACAATTCTATTTACATCCTGACAGAAATCAATAAATCAATAAATCAAATCCTCTGAAAAACAGAAGTGAACTGAGTTTGTTTTCCTGAACTGTGTGAATGAGACAGGAAGTAGTTGTTTGGTGAGTTTGGGAAAGGGTGGCTAGGATTTCTTTGATACTTTCAAAATAAAATAATAAAGTCTACCCATCTTCGACCTTTGACCTCTGAACCGCTCCATGCTTTACTCATTCTTGTTAATAAACTTTATTGATCAGGTTGTTTGTCCCCAAAGTGCTCAGAGTTCACTTTTTATTATTCAGAAATGTTTTTGTCAGAACAGATATTTAATAAACTCTGACTGAAACTAAACATTTCCTTTTTATTTCAGTCAGTTTCAGTTCACTCCTGGTTTTTATTTCAATTTTTATTGAACTTTACTAACTTCAGTTTGTTTGTACTGATGATGTATTTGTCTTCCGGCTGTTTGAACCAAGAAAATAATAATAATAATAATAATAATAAGATATATACATATATTTCTGAGTGTGTGCAGATGTGTGCAGTAACTCCAGTCAGACGGAACCAGTGGAACCAGTGGAACCAGTGGAACCAGTGGAACCAGTAGAAGAAGAGGAAACGACCACATGAGCTGATGGTTTTTATTTTGTCCTTTAAAACTGATAAAACTTCCGCCGGTCGACGTTACAAAACAAAATCAGGTTTAAAGCGACGAGAAACTGACGACAGACGGTTGTTTGACTTTTAAATAAACTCCAGATCTTTCGCGATGACTGCGCCTCCTCCAGAGTTCACTGTGACCTCATCAGGTGAGCGGAAACCGACCAATCAGCTCGCAGCAGAACATCACCTGAAGCAGGAGGTGAGACAGTTCAGAGAAGAAAACATCATCCGGTCTGCTCCGACGGCCGATTGGCTGCTGTGACAGGTGCTGTTATGGAGGGGGCGGGGCTTATGTTAGTGGTGGGCGGGGTCAGCCTGCAGTGGGCGGGGGCTCACAGGTAACCCTCCTTCTTGAACTGCTCGTGCAGGATGTCTCGGTACTCGTCGAAGCCGCCGTCGATGCGTGCGACTTTCCCAGCTTCGCACACCCACAGCTCCTTACACACCAACCGGATCAGACGCTCGTCGTGGGACACCAGGATGACCCCGCCCTGAAACATATGACATCACACAGTGAGGAAACACACCTGAGATACACCTGAGATACACCTGAGATCTCCTGTCCACTCCCACAGAAACAGGTCCAGACAGGAGCTCATGGAGGATTTCCTTTGTCAAACATTATGTATATATTCACGTGCCCTGTCTGACCAATCACACACTCCCGTTCACTGATCACAGTCACAGTGATGTCACAGTGATGTCACAGTGATGTCACATACTCACTTTGAACTTGTTGAGAGCTTTAGCCAGAGCCTCGATGGTCTCCATGTCCAGGTGATTGGTCGGCTCGTCCAGGATGTAGAAGTTCGGACTAAAGGACAGACAGACGACATCATCATCATCATCATCACCATCATCATCATCATCATCATCATCACCATCACCATCATCACCATCATCACCATCATCACCATCATCATCATCACCACCACCATCATCAGCTGAACCCTGAGCTTTCTACTACCATGGCATGGTCATCTGTGCGAAGGCCACCCGGCTCTTCTGTCCTCCCGACAGACTGGCCACCGGCCTCGTGGAGAGCTCTCCGGTGATCCCGTAGCCTCCCAGCTGATGGCGGTACTCCTCCTCTGTCCGACCTGTGACACACACACACACACAAGCCAATCAGAAACTCTCGTCAATGACTGATTAAACTGTTCCCTAAACAGGCCGCGCCTCCTGGAGCCCAAACTGTGAAACCAATTCTACTGTTGCTAGTTCCCTTAAAAAAGCATGTTAATGTTTCTCTATAAACTGTTCCCTAAACAGGGTACATGGTTCCCTAACAGACAGTAAAAGGTTTCCTGTATTTTCTTGTTGTTGTTGTTGTTGTTGTAGTTACCAGGGAACCTGTTGAGCAGCAGCTCCACAGAGCAGACGTTCAGGTCCAGCTGGTCCACGTGATGCTGACTGAAGTAACCGATTTTCAAGCTCCTGATGAGAAATTTAATGAGAAGAGAAACTACAGTTAAAAAAATGGTTCCCTAATAATGGTTTAAGTTTTCTATAATGTAAACAGTTCCCTACAATCAGTACAAAGTGGTTCCCTATAAACCAGCTCAGGTAACAGAGGCAGAGAAGTGCTCTGCTCTGATTGGTCGTTGGTTGTCTTACCTGTGAGCTTGTCTGACTCCGTTGACCGGCGTCAACTCGCCCATGAGCAGTTTGAGGATGGTCGATTTACCAGCGCCGTTTTCACCGACCTGACAGCAAACACAACACGACACGTAAACTCCAACACAGTCCAGACTGTACATTATTGATCACATATGACAGCTGTCACTGATTGGCTGATTTTATTGATCACACGTACGATGCAGATGCGAGACTCAAGGTCAGCTGACAGGTTGAGTCCGGAGAAGAGCCGTTGGTCTGGATTGTAATAAAACTCCACTTCATCTAACTGCAGGATGGGAGGAGACAACTTCTCAAAGTTATCTGGAAACCTGTGAGAGGAAAACAATCAATCAATCAATCAATCAATCAATGCCTGAAATCCTTAACTGAGACCACAGAAATGTGTAAAGATATAAGGTGATATGAGGTTTATCTTCTTACTTTAAAGTGACCTCAGTTTCTTTCTCAATTGGCTTCAGTTCAGGTCTGCAGGAGAAAACAACAAGTTCCAGTTAGTCACAGTCTCAGGTAGAGATCACCTGAAACACCTGAAACACCTGAAATAACACCTGTCTGATAAGGTACATGTGAGTCCAGCTGGATATTACTGTGACATCTTACTAAAGAACAGGTGGTGTTATGATGGTGTGACATGTGTGTGTATGAAGTGGGGTATGATAGGAGGTGGTTAAGCTACCAGTGTGGCGTACGGGGATGGGTTTCTTGTGTGAGTTCTGTGTGTACAGTGGACGCTTGTTTTATGACGTGTGTTACCAGGGCTTTATATGGTTGTGTATTATCCAGGTGGTTGTATCCTAAAGGTGTGGTACGGAGGTGGACCAGCGTGGCTATGGGATGTGTTGTACCAGGGTGTCATGAGGGTGCGTGTACCAGGGTTGTGGTAATGAAGGTGTGTACAGTGTGTGGTATGAGGTGTGTACCAGGTGTGTGTTTACTCACAGTCTCTCCAACAGTTTGAGTTTGCTCTGGACCTGAGCTGCTCTGTTAGCGTTGTACCTAAATCTGTCAATAAACACCTGAAACACAAACACAGTGCATTCTGGGAATATGTACATGTTGTCTGTACTGCAGTAGTACTTTGGAAGTCTCTAGAGATTTATTTGGATTTTATGTTGGTATTACAGTTGTGAGTTTATGAAGCCATAATGTCCTCTGTATGTTTTCCTTTATAAATAAAAAAAAAAACCTAAATGTGTGTGTGTTGTGTGTTGTGTGTTGTGTTGTGGTAGGGAAAGTTCTTCAGGTTGGATTGGAAGGGATTGAGGTTTTTTGGGCGTTTGCCAGAAAAAAGCTCATGTTTGCTCGGGTTTGAGTTTCAATGCTTCTTTGTTTCTTTTAATTAACAAGTTTCTTCTTCTCAAAAAGTCAGTTGCCACAGTTAGGTTGATGTGTTTTCAAGGGTTTACCTGAAGTGTAAATTATTTACTGGGCTGACAATGATTGAATCAGCCCTCTTAAAAAAAAAAACCATTCATTTTCATTTTTATTCTTTCTTTTAAAAACCAGGCCGGGAACCTTGCTGGCTGCTGGACGTGAGTGGGAAAAAAAAAAAACTTGTGAGTATATATTGTAGGTAGTAAGTAATAATATGGCAGTAAGAATGTATATATTATGCAGTAGTAGATGGTGTATATAATATTGGGCAAGTAAGTTAAAAAGGTTTTAGTATATATTTGGCAGTAGTAAAAAGGGTGTGTATATATATATTGCAGTAAAGTTAGTTTAGTATATATTTGGGCAAGTTTAGGTTAGGTTGTTTGTAATATAATATGCAGTAGTAAGCTAAGTAGGTTTTCAGTAAATAATATTTTGGCAAGTAGTAAGTAGTAATATTATTTTTTTTGCAAGGTAGTTTTAAGTAAAGTTTAGTTATTATTTATGCCAGTAAAGTAGTTAGGTAGGTATATATGGCAAGTGAGTAAAGTAGTTTTTATTAAATATTATGCCGGTTAGGTAAAGTGTAGTATATTTATTGCAAAGTTAGTAGTAGTAGTATATGCCAAGTAAGGTTAGAGTATATTTATTTGGCCAAGTTTTTAGTAAAGGGGTAGTTTAGGGGTTATATATTGCAGTAGTATTAGGTAATATAATGCAAGGTTAGTAGTAGTATATAATTGCAGTTTAGGTAAGGTAGTCTTTAGTTAGTATTATTTTGCAACGTAGTAAGTAAGTAGGTATATATGGCGCAAAGTTAGTAGAGTAGTATATATGGCAGTAGGTAGGGTTAGTATATATTGCAAGTAGTATGTAGTATATTTATTGCAAGTTTAGGTAAGGGTAAGGGTAAGTAATATTAATGCAAGTAGGGGAAGTTAAGGGGTAATATATTGGCAGTAAAGTTAGTCAGTAGGTAGTTTAAAGTAAATAATATGGCAGTTAGAAAGTTTAGCTATATATTTTTGCCAGTAGGGGGGAAGTAGTATATATTGGCAGTAGGAAAGTAAGTAATATATTGCAAAGGGTTTAGTAGGTAGTTAGTTAGGTTAGGTAATATATTTGCCAGTTTTAGTAGTTAGTAGTAATTATAATTGCAGTTAGGTAGTAGTAGTAAAGTATAATATGGCAGGAAGTTTAGTAATTATGGCAAAAGTAGGGGAGTAGGTATATATTTGCAAGTAGGGAGTAGTATTATATGCAGTTAGTAAGGTAGTAAGTAGGGTAGTTATAAATTATTGCAACGTAGTAGTTACGTTAGTAATATATGCAGTAAAAAGTAGTTAGTAAGTAGTAAATTAAATAATGCAGTTTAGTAAGGTAATTTATATTGGCCAAAAGTAAGTAGTAGTTAGCTATATATTGCAGGTTAGTAGTAGATAGTAGTTAGGTAAATATATTGCAGTAGTTAGGTATATAGCAAGGTTTTTAGGGGAGGTTTAGCTATAATATGGCAGTAGTTAAGGTAGTTAGTAGGTAGTATATATGCAGTTACGTTTAAGTAAGTATATATTGCCAGTTAAAGGGGGAGGAGTAAAATATATTTGGCAGGTTTTTTCAAGGTTAAGGGTTAAGTAAATTTAATTAAAATTTTGGCAGTAAGTTTATAAGTAGTATAATATTTTTTTTGGCAAGTAAGGGAAGTTAGTATATATGCAAGTAGTGTATATATATGCAGTAGTAGTAGCTAGTAGTATTATATGCCAGTAGTAGTCATATATATGCAGTAGTAGTCAGATATATATGCCAGTAGTAGTAGTCTATATATGCCAGTATGTAGTAGTAATATGCAGTAGGAGTAGCTATATATGCAGTAGGAGCTAGATAATATGCAGTAGTAGTATATATGCAGTAGTAGTATATATGCAGTAGTAGTAGTAGTAGTATAGTTATGCAGTAGTAGTCATATATGCAGTAGTAGTAGTATATATGCAGTAGTACTATATATGCAGGAGTATTATATAGCAGTAGTTAGTAGTATATATGCAGTAGTAGTATTAGTATATATGCATAGGAGTAGCTATATATGGCAGTAGTAGTAGGTTATATATGCAGTAGGAGCTAGAATATTAGCAGTAGTAGTAGTAGTATATTATGCCAGTGAGAGTAGTATTATAGCAGTTAGTAGTAGTAGCATAAATGCAGTAGTATAATAGTGATACAGTTAGCTAGTGCTTCCAGTACTTCTGATGTATTCGTCCTGTGTGTTTTCAGAGCCGACCAACATGTTGGATCTCAGAGCCATTCTTGTGTTTGGAGAACTACCTGCCAGGTTCTGAACTGTCACTCACTTTAACGTTAGCATTCCTCATTGAAAACAATTGCACAACGGTTAGCCAAGAGTAACAAGTCCTAAACAATGCCTCCTCTCCCACAGACGTGGCAGCTCCAACCCATCCTTTGGTCGTCTCCCACGATCAGAAACTTCCTCCAACGCCGTGGTAACGGACAATCCACCGGCAACTCCCAGAGCCTGGACAGTTACCGTGGCCGACTACGAAAACTTTATCAATAACCAAAGAAGACAGACTGAAGAACCAGCACATAGAGTACGAGGCCCACGCAGTACAGACAAACATATACAGGTACAACTGCGTACAGACAACAGTACAGACAAATATACAGGTTACTTACTGCAGTACAGACAACAGTACAGACAAACATATACAGGGTACTACTGCAGTACAGACAACAGTACAGACAAATATACAGTGTACTTACTCAGTACAGACAACAGTACAGACAACATATACAGGTACTACTCACAGTACAGACAACAGTACAAGACAACATATACAGGTACTACTGCCAGTACGACAACAGTACAGACAGCCAATCATACAGTACTACTGCAGTACAGACAACATATACAGGTACTACTGCAGTACAGACAACAGTATACAGGTACTACTGCATACAGAAACATATACAGTACTACTGCAGTACAGACAACAGTACAGACAACATATACAGTACTACTGCAGTACAGACAACAGTACAGACAAACATATACAGGTACCTACTGCAGTAACAGACAACAGTACAGACAACATATACAGTACTACTGCATTACAGACAACATATACAGGTACTACTGCAGTACAGACAACATATACACGGTACTATCTGCTACTACAGACAACACTATACAGCTGTACTACTGCAGTACAGACAATCCATATACAGGTACTACTGCAGTACAGACAACAGTACAGACAACCTATACAGGTGCTACTGCAGTACAGACCAACATATACAGGTACTACTGCAGTACAGACAACATATTACAGGTACTACTGCATCTACAGACAACATATACAGG